GTTCCTTGTTGCATTAACTGAAAAGTAATATGTTCGAGAGATAATCTGCTGGAAAAAATAGATGCTATATTTAAGGACAAAATTACTGTCATACAATTCTTAGGCAGTTAATCATAAAAATATTTAAAAACAACATATTTACCATACGTTCACGAACAAGCACAAAGACCGACAGCTGAAACAGTCGCAACCAATCTTATAGTGATTTGAGAGATTTAAATAATGAAGCAGCCGGTAGAGCAAAAAAGCGCGTTAAGGTCGTTAACTAGCACTGGCAGAAAATTTCAGCCGAAATAACTAAAAGCATATCTGAAATCATCAAACAAACGACAATACAAACAGAACTAAAGTGGTACATATGGTTCTGCTTACATATCTTATGGAAATGAATATTTATGCATGTAATCTGGCAGCGATTATAAGGGGGGAGTAAGGTCGAACCTGTTATAGTGAGAAAATGACAAAATAGCAGGTATCGCTATCAAACTTCGTTATTTCTGACTTGTAGCAAGTCTGCTACATTACGCATTTAAGCAATAAATCTAGAGTACCCTTTAAAGTACGTTTTCAGAGAAGAGCAGCGACACTAATGTTTTGAAAATAGGCACGATTACAATTTCAAGAACGCATCGCACGAAGCAAACCATATGACACTGATTCAGTCAGCGCTACGGATTTCAGGATCGTATTCATAGCGATACACAGGGTATGACTGCTTTTATAAAGTTTCGGCTGCTGATATAACAAAAGTTCTAAAATACTCGAAGAGAAACAGTTTAGGAGCAAACGCTTATGTATTTCAGTAAACTTTCTGGTTGATTGTATTTGCTGCATGTGAACAAAGCAAGAACAAACTAGTAAATAAAGATATGCAATTAGAAATGCTGAAATCCGAACAGGTAGCGTTTGTACTAAGTAGACACAGTACAGTTTGAGGATGACTGTCAGTTTTGCATACCTACACTGCAGCAGTGCCCAGACGATGCCGGAATTTCGACCAATAGTAGATTGGTCAGAACAGAGAGTCAGGTAGTTGCCTTGTCCCACCCAGATTACTAAACGTAAAGTAAAAGTCAGGCCTATCTTTAAAACGATATACTTGCAGCTCCGAAACCAAGCAGCGCCGATGCCGTGTAAAGTAGTTCAGTCCGGACATACAAAAAAGACGCAAGAAACAACCTGCACAACAGGATAAGAGTTGCAAAGAGGTAAAATCGTTTTACGAATAAGTAACTCCGCCAATAACCATGGACCATTTTCCGGTCAGGTAGCGGATGAATACGGGCGTGATCAAGTTGCACAACGTCAACACGAAATAGATGATGCTGAGACTAAAACAACATATACCGATAATGAATGTAGAGAAGAACACAGCTGCTACATTTACTTAATTCACATATTAACACATGTTCATTGAAAAAAATCATCTTGATACAATATTTTCATAAATATATTAGATTTTTTCTGCAGATAAGTCGAGTCTGAGAGTTGCAGAAAGTCTATCTGTAACAAATGATTCGTTACTGAACCTGGAAGTAGCTTAAATAGTTACCCAGTTTCGTGAACATGACCCAAAGAAGGTAAAATGTGAACATACATTAGATAGAATATTTCGTATTAATTCTTGCAACAGATCCAAATGCCTAATTTAGCTAGAGAATAAGTACTGTACTGAGATAATATGTACTGAGAATATGTACTGTACTGAATATGTATCGTTCATGGATGAAGTGAACATTGCTCTGCACGATGTACTGACTACATAACTCATTACTTTGTCGGAAGACTCCAATGCGCATGTTAAAGCAAACACTGAAACGTGCAAAGGTGTGACTGGAAAGAACAGCAGCAATGATTTTATGATTTTATGAATAACGTCATAACGTCTTTCCGATTATGTACAAATAGCGAACCATCTGAAACGTATTTTGACTTCGAGCGCAGAAACCTGCATAATTATACTTTGTACAAGGAAAATTTCATACATGATCGATCTGATAATTGTATTGCCTGACTCAAGATGCTCTATAATGGGCGTTCATACTAAGAAAGGAGTAAAGCTGTCAATCGACCATCATCTTTGAGAAGACCAGATGTCAGAGACTATAAGAGAATCACATGGGAAACACTATTCTGCGGATATGACGGCAAACAAGATCACATGACCGTTTCAACAGATCCCGGCAATGGCGGCTGACATAGAAAACGATTTTCAGAAATCAACACGGATTATCAGTGGCTAAAGCTTAGACGTTGGCGCAAGATCGGGAACGTAGGAGACAGCGTATGATTCTTGGTGTTTCTGCGATTCGAAAGAATAGTAGGTCATCGACGCTCACTGAATAACGGAAATGCTGACTGGACTTTCAGTTATGTCAGTTCAGTTATTAGCATTACAATATCTTCACCCTAAAATCCGTTTAAAGTTCATTCTAAAAGGCAGTCCTCGACGATATTAAAACCAAATCATTTTTGCCATACTGCAAAGAAAAAAACGAAGTCGGTAACTAATGTTAAAGTTAACAATATCGTAGTTAAAAATTCAAATTTGAGAATCACTTATGGTAGGCTTTCAGGTTAGTTGTCGATGATTTCGGCATGCTTCCATCATCTTTTATTCAGTTCATCCAAATCTAAGGATTTTTTAAACAGTAGTGTTAACAAGCAGTCTGCACCATGATAAGAGCACATGCGAAAGCAGCAATGGTTGCCTGCATCTCTTTTATCCATCTGAAGGAAAAATCTTATCGTACGAATTAACCTCACAGTAAAGCATTTATATGACATCAGGACAACCACAAACGGCATGGCCAGTTTCAAGTAGGCCTGTAGACACAGATATACACCGAAATGTCAGTACTGAACAACAACCCTTGATAAACCAGCAATATTAGTTTATCTTATATATACCATGTTCTTAGCACAGAAAAACTAAATGGAATCAAACGAAGCAGATTCTAGGAAAAAATTATATTTTTACAGTGTAAAATATCATCTTTCGTTTCTCATATTAAAGAAAGAATTAAATGGCCTTAATGAGGTAAACTACATGTAACGTTGACGACCATTCCTCCACAAAAGATAACTATAACTTATTAGAATCCATGATATAAATAAACAGACATCAAACGATGAACAGATAGTCAAACTTGGGAGTAATAAAGGTTGTCTATCGAATGACAGACCAACACGGATATTCCGTCCTGTATCTCACGGACCTTCGTCAAGTTAAAGCCATTTGTTGCCGACGATGTGACTTTCTGCAGCAGCTAATTCGTGAGAGTCTGAAGACAAGCTCTGCCCTTGCTGCTTTGGTAATTTTCCGGCGATAGGCGCGAGAAGGCTCAAGTCTGAAGAAGAATACATTTAAAGGCAAGAGGCAAGCGCAACTCTGCCTATAAAATAATGAACTGTAAATTATCTACAGACACTATCGGTGTAAACAAACTCCAATTGTTGAAAAAAAATGTTTTATGCATCCTAGTTAAGAAACACTATTGTGGCGCCAGGAGCAGCTATTTTGCTCGAATCATAACTCCAGTTTGTACCCGGTCATATATATTGTTTAAGTAAATAGAGTGAGCCAATACTGCATCTGTGGCAAATAGCACGGAACCATGACCTGCATAAATGAACCACTTAAACCTGAGGAACCAGGGGTATAGTACAACTATGTCATAAATCCGATAAAATTAATTGTTCGAGTAATTATAATGTACTATATCCCGCAGTATCGGAGTAAAGCAATTCTAATTGGTTTTAAAATATAAAGAAACAGTAAATAACGGCACATCCAACTTTTAAGAAAGGTCGTGAGAAAAGGGTCGAAACGAACGGTATTAATCATTATCATGGTATTGATCTATATCACTATTATGCCTACCAACGAACGGTATTGATCTATACCATTTTTATGACTAACAAAATATCACAACTAAGCAAGTTATAGATAGCATAACAGATATCGAAGATAACATAAATAATGCCCAATAATTTTCTGACCTATAGTATCCGGCATGGCTGCCGACGACAACGCCGCTCCCATTGTTTGCTGACAGACTTGAGAGGACCACTTCCTAAAGATAAAAAAGAAACTTACTACACACAACATCTGTTACCTGTATCATGCTGCAGGAGTTAAAAGCCGTAAAAATTAAAAGGAATCCGATGCCCAGGTGGACAACACTGAAAAAGTGAGTGTCACGTCTTAACTCGAAACAGATTCCCATTCTGTAGCTAGTTTCAAATGGCTGAAAGCAAAAACAGTTCTGAGCAATGTACAAAAGGACAATAATGACAAGAATCTGCGCGCACTGGTTCAGAACATTAGAGCCATAAAGCGCACGGCACGTAAACCAACGAGTTATGCCGATTTTTCGCTTGATAGCACTGAAGCAAAATTGTACAAATCCTTCGCACAATGGAACAGGAAGTCAATTAGTTCCGATGATCGCTTACCCTTCCCGGTCGCGGAGGCCGACGCTTCAAGCAGTGTCTCCAACATTCCTGGCACTACACCAATGTCTGAGACTCAGCAGAGAATTTTAGAACCGAGACGACTGCCACTGGTCAATTTTGAGATTTTCCGGGATTTTCGGCTGATCGGATGTACAAATAGTGGATGATTCGTCGCCATGAATTCGGAAAACTTCGTTAAACGTGCTCAAACCACTGCAGCTGTGACTTGTCAGTCTGAATAAACAGCGGCTATAGACTAAGTCTTTCTCGAATATCTGAACTTCAAACCCTATCGAGACGTGCAAGTGCAGTGATTCATTTCAGAATGCGCAGTTCTACCGCTCCTGGATTAAACTCAAACTTCTGATGCACAAACTGAAAATATCTTCACTTGCGCGATCGCCCTCCTCCCCCCGACCAAAACTGCGTAGGTGGCGAAAGGATGAAGTTAACAACCGAAATGGAATAATCAAGACAGCCATACATTATTGCACCCATAACATTTTAATTAGGCAA